AGTGGAGACCGAAATTTATCACCTGAACTTCTAAGGAATCGTTTAGGAGTCTATCCATAATACTTTCTATGCTTCCACTAATTTATTACCCACAGCTGTCACTTTATCAGATACATTTTCTACATGGGACAGACCATCCTCTATATATTCACTGTTACTGCTGAGTTCCTCTGCAACAGGCAAAGTATGTCTGTGCTTAGAAGCTCTCTGAAGGCTGCATCCTGCTTGGGTGTGAGAGACTCTGCTACTATTTCCTCCTCCTTCAGGAGTAGGCCCCAGGGCTGGGACTGTGGCTCAGGGGACAATGGTTGATGCTATAAGGTCATGAGTTTGAACCACTAGGAACCATAATGAAAGACAGGCATGCCTGCACACAGGCTTGTAATTCTAGCTCTGGTCATGTCAGAGGTGAGTGACATACTGGAGGATGTCTTGGATTTTCTGCATACAAGGGAGGCTTTAGTTTCAGTGAGTGACCCTACATCAAGGCAAGAAGTTGTAGAGTAACTGAGCGGGGCACCAATTGCCATCCTCTGACCCCCTGCATCCTCTGAAGAAGGGTTGGCACAGACCTAGGTTCCTGGCTGTAATTTCATAAGTGCTTTTTACCTAGGCAATAGGGCAAAACTAGAGAATTCGGTCATGGATCTGATATAGCCTCCCCAGGCATCAGAATGCTATGGGATGCTCTTGCTCACAGGATTGGTGCCAACAGGGAGAAAACAAACTTCTGTGGCCGACCTAGACCTATGGTCTCTGTTGGGAACATGAGTACCTCAAATTTTTGTTAGTCTTTCTTTTGTTTTTATTTATGTTTTCAATTTTTGGTTCTGTGAATGACATCTGGAGTCTGTTGCCTCTGCCCTCCCAGTTAGGCACCGTATCAGCAGCCCAGGTCAGAAGATTAGTGTGGCCGATATCTATACACAGACTGTTAGGAACTAGCAGCCAGCTGACCCCCCGCCCCCGATGATGGGCTGGACGCTCATGGCCGTGTCATTGCTACATCAGCCTTACCTGGCAGCTCAAGCTTTACCTGGCTGCCAGAGGACTCAGTTACGCATGCACAAGCCCCCTCCCCTTTTAAATCAAGTGTGCCAAGCGCATCTCTCTCTCTCTCTGGCTCCTGATCTCTCTCTCTGGTCTCTCTCTCTGGCTTTCCGCTCTCTCTCTTGCTCTCTCTTGCTCTCTCTTGCTCTCTCTCTGGTTTCTATCTTGCTCTCTCTTGCTCTCTCTCTCTCTGGCCTCTCTCTCTCTCTCTTTCTCCTGCTTTTGGTTGGCCACTTCTTTCTCTCCCTTCTCTCAATAAACTCCACGTGGGCGCTGAGTCTCGTATTTGTGTTTTATAGGCGTCAGTTGCATCAAAAGAACAACACAGACCCATCATGAGGCAAAAGCCTCGCAGTCACACGACTACCCCAGCTACCCAGTGGCTGCTGTTCATCATGCTCCAAGCATCTAATGTCTTTTCTGGCTTAAAGTTCCAAAATTCTATCATAATCCTTCCCAGAACACATGGTCAGGTCTGTCACAGCAATAATGTACTCCTAGTATGCATTTCTGTCTCAGGCAGGGTTTCTATTGCTGGGAGAAAATGTCACAACCAGAGGAAAGTTGTGGAAGAAAGGATGTATTTCTTCTGATAACTTGTAGTCCATCATTCAGAGAGCTCAGTGCAGGGACACAAGGCCAGAACTGATGCGGAGGCCATGAAGAAGCACTGCTGACTAGCTGGCTTCCCAGTGACTTGGGCAGCCTTTATTATACCATCCAAGACACTCTCGACATGGATGACACCTCCATCAGAGCTGGGACCTCCCACATCAACCATCAAAAAACTAAAAACCACCTACACACTTGCCTTCATGCCAATCATTTGGAAGTATTTTCTCCATTAAACTTTCTTCCTTCCAGATGACCTTAGCTTATGTCTTGTTTAAATAGAACTAGCCAGCATAGTTGAGTACCTGAAAGGCCTTCAGAGGCCATTGCAAGGAGTTAGAATACGAAAATGAATGACAATAATGAAGATCTGAGCATTTTGGAGAGGCCGTGATAAAACCATGCCACCTGAAAAAGGCTGCACACATGGTGACATGTAAATCTGAGAAAGAGGTTACATGTGCTATCACACTAAGATCTCTAGAATCAGGATTACCTAAGCCCCTTTTAACTGAGATTATTCTATTAAAAAATAAACTTTAAGGGCTAGAAATAGAGCAACAATATTTGTGTGTTTGTCTTTTGGGTTCTCATGTTGATTTGTTCCATTTTATTTTGCTGTCTTCACGATTGTCCTTAACAGTGGAAAGTACACTCCTTGTAATCGCATGTTGCATGTTGCTTTGCAAGAAGTTTTTGTTTGTTTGTTTTAGTTTTATAGTGGTTAAGGGTTTAGCTTGAGGTATAGGAGAAACTTTGGAGTTTTAAATATATTGGAACATAGTTGTTTCTTTTGTTTTTAAATTTAATATTAATTTTTGTGTTAGGTTTTGCTGTAAAAAGACACAAATGCCATGGCAACTCTTATGTAGGAACATATTCAATTAGGGCTGGCTTACAGTTTCAGAGGTTTAGTCCATTATTACCAAGTGGAAAACATGTTGGCATGGAGGCAGACATGGTATTTGAGAGGAAGCTGATAGTTCTACACCTGGATCCCCAGGCAGCAGTAAGAGACTTAGACACACTTGCCAGACTTTGAGGCCACAAAGTCTACCACCAGTGACACATTTTGTCCAACAAAGCCACACCCACTTCAACATGGACACTATATGCCTATGGGGGCCCCTTTCTTTCAAACCACCAGAGTTTTTGAGAATTTCATAAAAGAATGTGGTGTTTACATTTCTGTTAAACTGTTACCTCACAAAAGACTGACCCCTTAAACAAGTTTTATCATTTAGTAAAGAAATTTTGAAGATTTCTCAACACTTACCTGAAACATGGAATGGCTACTTTCTGTTGAAATGTCCACAGAATCACCCAAAAAGTGAGTGTGTGTGTCTGTTGTTTTTTGTTTGTTTGCATTCTAGTAATGAAAACCAATGTCTTAAAGCCCTTTCTCCCCTCTTAGGGAGCAATGGAGTATCGTAAGCCTCTCTGTGAGTAATGCTTCCACAGACAGCCTGGCCTTCCTGATCTCCAACAAGGGCTGATTGGTGTGCACTTGTTTTAAATTAAACTAATTTATTTATTTTAGTTTCCCTTCACTTCTCTACTCCTATCCTTTCCCCACCTACCCTCCACCCCCAATCAATTCCTCCTCTGTTTCCTTTCAGAAAGAGGGAGGTCACCTATGGATAGAAACAAAGTATGACATACCAAGTTGCAGAAAGACTAAGCAACTTCCCATGTATTATAGCTGAGCAAGGTAATCCAATATGAGGAATAAGATCCCAAAAGCCAGCCAAAGCTTTAGGGGCAGCCCCTTGCTCCAACTGTAAGGAGTCCCACGAGTAGACCAAGCTACACAACTGTCACATATATGTAGAGGTCCTAGCTCGGTCCCATGCAGGTTCCCTAGCCGTTGATCCAGAGTCTGTGAGCTCCTATGAGCCAGGTTAGTTGTTACTGTGAGTTTTCTTTTGATGTCCTTGAGCCCCTCTGGCTTGCACAACCCTTGCTCCCTCTCTTCAGCAGGATTCCCTGAGCTCAGCCTAATGTTTGGTTGTGGGTCTCTGTATCTATTTCCATCACTTACTGGATGAATCCTCTCTGATGACAACTGGGGTAGTCAACAATCCGTGAGTATAGCAGAAAATCATTAGGCATCAATACACTGACATTTTTCCTCCAGTCATGTTTGGCTCTATTTTAGGTCTCTGGACCATCCAGCCTCTGGGTTCTGGTGCTCTAGGCAGTGTCAGGGATTGACTCACTCTCAAGGCATGGTTCTCAGTTTAGACCAGTCATTGGTTGTCCACTCCCGCAATTTCTGTTTTACTCTCACCCCAGCACATTACATAAGCAGGGCAGCCTTTAGGTTGAAGGTTGTGTGGCTGGGTTAAAGTCCTAATCTCTCCACTGGAAGTCTTGCCTGATCACAGGAGATAGATCGTTCAGGCACCCTCTCCACTATTGCTAGGAGTCTTAGCTGGGGGCATCCTTGTGGATTCCTGGAAGTTTCCCTTGCACCAGGTTTCTCTCTGTCTGGAAATATGCCCCCCTTCCCAGTCATCCCTTTCAGTACTCTCCCCACTTCTTGCACAGCAACTTCCAGAATGGGAATAGAAAGAAAGATAGATGGAAGCATGGGGGGAACTGTGAAAAGGACCACTTGCCACTTACCTATGTATAAATCATGAAACAGATCATGGCCCAAAACTGTGAAAGCACCCCAAATGGCCACAAAGGAGAGGTAAAATGTGTGACTTCTCACCACTTTCCTTCTTTCACAGGCCCACTGTCCAGGAAGTCATGGCTGTACCAGGGCACAGATGCTTCTGCAGGCCTCCAAGTAGAGTTATCTGGCAGAGTCCATGGTCCCCAAAGGCTAATCACTGGAAGTACCATGTGCCTTTTGCCATGAGGATTTATTTACAAAGTGTCCATGGAATCAAGCTCTATGGGTCTGAGTCTGGATGGCCAGGGATGAATGTGGTGAAAATGGAGGTGTGGGCCCTTCAGTCCTGGCTCCTCTAGCTCATGGCTGCCACAGTCAAAGAAGAATCCAGGACACAATGCGCAAAGTAACTCTTTATTATGAAAAAATCCAACAGGCATCTTTTGCGAAAATACACAGAGTAATTGACCCCCAAGGTGGCTATGTTTCTTGGCCTACATGTTAACTTTGGCCTTGTGGTCAGCCAGGCTTACAGCTGGAGTCATGGGCAAAGATTCAGAAACAAACAAGGAATGGAGAGTATGTACAAGAGGAAGATGATGTTCAGACGCTCCTTTTAAGTCATTTGTCTGAAGAATTCCTTTGGGATCTTGCTCTCTATCTGGATCAATGGAGTCAGGGTATCAGAAGTGCCCAGTACCCTGAGTTCCATCCCCTAATCACCTAGACTCCATCTTACTAAAGGCTCCAGAGACACCCATCTGTCACCCACTTGATTCCCAGATCTCACCTGGAGCATGGTGAAAACCTCAGCAGCTCTGCTGTAGTCCCAGGCATTGTCCTCAAGGCACCTGAGGAGGGACAAGGAGAGTTGACCTCCATTACTACTACAGGACAGATGCATTGGTCACAGATGCCACCACTTAACCTATGTTACTCATTTCCTGGCACATGTGTGCCAACTTTAGCACCCTAGTAATAGTGGAGAAAGACCTGCTCAGCAGAATTCAAAGCAGAAACACAAGGGGGTTTCTAAGAATAATGAAGCTTAATACAAACACCCCACACCTCACATCCCCAGAAAAGCAATGGAAACTCAGAAACAAATTCTCCCCCATAATTTTTAAACTAATATGTATGGCACATCTCAGAGAATTTTTTATTTCAACTGCATATCTCTCAGTCATTTCTAGCATGTTCACAAGACTCTACAACAATCCAAACTAATTCCCAAACAGCTCTGTTGCTGCAAAAGAAAGCTCCTTAACTACTGGAGCTCAGTCACTAACTCTCCCATTTACCAGGTTTTCTTTGGCTGCTTGGGCTTTTGGTGTCATAGATAATATTTGGCAATCAAATTCAAGGCCATGGATATTTATACTTATATTTTGTTCCTTGGGCACTATAGATGCAGTAACACTTAATTTTGGATCCTCTCTCTACACATGACCAGTGTTTTCAAAGGGTGTGTGAGTATGTGCTAGGGGTCAAAATTCACTGGTTTTGAATGGAATATGCTGTTCTCTCAGTATTGTATATTGAAAAGATATCATTGGTCTCCATGGTAATGTGATAGTTTGATAGTCTTGGTAATAAACAATCAACTGACCATCATTGTGGGAGTTTCTTCTGTATGTATGTAATCTGTGGCACTAATGTAAGCACCACATCACCTTGCTTCATGTAGCCTTGCAGCTGGCTTTTAAACTGGGAACCATGCCTCTTTTAACTTCGTTCTTTTCATTCAAAGTTGGGATAGTTTAGGTCCACTGCATTTCCACATTTACTTCGGGATCACCATGCCAGTTTGAAAAGGTTTAAATTTGATATTATTTTATGTGTATGGGTATTTTGCCAGCATGTACATCTGTGAACTACTAGCCTGCAAGTACCCACTGAAGCCATAAAAGTGTGTTGGATTCCGGGATCCAACTGGAGTGACAGACACTTGTGAGAAGCCATGTTGGTGGTAGGGATTGAACCCGGGTCCTCAGGAAAAGTCTCTGGTGCTCTTAAATGCCAAACCAACTCTACAGCCCTTCTATGTCAATTTTTACAAGGAAACCATTTGGTACTTTGAGAGGGATTTCAGGGAAAGTGAAGAATCCTCTGGATGGTACTGACATTGTCATACCCACAAATGTGGATATCCCCTTCCTATTATTTCGGTCATTTTTTTTTTTTTTCATTTTTTAAATAGTTTTAGACACCTTATTCAGACATCAGAGTATGAGCTGTGTTCATCTCTGTACATGTGTTGTGCCTGCATTTGAGTGTGCTGTGAGGGAGGGCATGAGCACACATAGACACGTGTCCCATGAATGCAGATGCATGAGCACAATGGTGCATGTGTGGAGGTCATGGGACAATGTGGGGCTGACACTTGAACAGCAGGCCATTTTGCCCACCAGCATCTCTCCCACTCCCTCTTTTGTTACACTTGTGCTAAAGTGTTTTATTCTTTTGGCTGCAGTTCTACATGGATTTGCTTCCCGCTGGATATTTGTTGCAAGCATACAGTGATACAATTGATTTCTGTACATTAATTTTACAACCTGCAGCTGTTGAACAGTTATACGGGTTTTGATGTAATGAATTCCTTTGGATTTTCCAAGTGGAGTGGGATGCCACTTGAGAAATAGACTATCTTTAAAAATTCTTTACATACCCTATTACAAAATGAAGACACATTTTTCAGTGTGTTCCTATCTATTTGTCTGAGGGGCATTACTACAATATAGACAAAGTTTGTTTTTTCATATGTTGTCTGAGATTTCACTATTCACTTTTATGTGTTTCCAACCCCAGCCCCAAGCTCCATCCTGTGCACATTTATAGCAGGCACTCACTTCTGAGACCACTCAAGTTTCATCCCAGACTGGGTGGAGAAAGCCCACACCATCTTTTGCTGCTCTTGAGAGAGGACGGGCTTGAAGGCAGAGCATGATGTGGGCAAGGGTGCATCAAAGGCACCCTGGATCTCATCAGGGCTTGGATTCCTCACAAGAAGTTGGTCATTCACCATGCACAAGCTGGAGGAAAAGCAGTCTCTGAGATGACTGGAGAGGTGGACAATCCCTCCACTTCCCCAGACACGATCCTCTTTAACCAATGCTACTCAGCAACTGGATTCCTCCCATATGCCCATTTGATCTGCCTAGTCTAACCCTTGGCTGCTGCTCAGAGAACACCATTCCCACCTCCTCCAAAAGATTGTCTACAAGCTACATTGGATTTGGAGATTTAACCATCACACAGTTAGCCTACACAATGGAAAAAGAACCTGGTTCCCCCTTGTTTCCACTTTCAGAGGAAGAGTCAGGGTCTCCTGGAGAGATCAGTTAATTGAGTCAAGGTGATAGTGACTGAGGGTCAGAAAGAAAACTGATATTCAAACCCTGGAGCCCCTGCTCTTAACTGCTAGGGTATTCTGATCCTTTGATCTACCTCTTGACCTTCCAATATTGCAAGACTACCCCCAGAGAATGCCACCTCACTATATTGCTTCTGGCCCCACGCTGTGGTGGGAGTTCTACCCACAACACTGTACTTACTTTGAACTCCTCCTGTCAAGGGTAGCAGTGAAGGTGCGCATGAAGGCACGAATGCATCCCTGATAGGTGCCTTCCACTTTGAGGATAAGAAAACAATAAAGTATCCTTAAAATTACACATGTTTTGCACCCTCACAGAACATTCCCCAGTCAGAATCTTAGGATGAAAGTGCCCAGGACCAGTCAACTATTGGGTTGGAGTCAGGGCTCCTTGTTGGGAATGGGGATGGGGCAGGCAACAAGGGAAATGATCCACTCCCATTGATGGGACCCCCACCACATGCTGTTCCCTGTGAAACATCTCTTCCAATGTTCACTTGGTCTGTTTCACATTAATAAGTGAGCGGGAATTTAATAAGCGCCACTGGCAAATGTGGAAATGCAGAAGTTAAGCAACTGGCCCAAAGTGTAAGGCTCTGGAATGAGAGCCACAATTCCCACAGCTCCCATGCCCTCCCTCACCCAGGAGCTGTGGGACAGACAGGCACAGCCCTTGTTCAGACCAGAATGGTCTGTGGGCAGGGTGCTGTGGGCAGAAGAGCACAAGGGAGGACAAGAAGGAAAGGCGTGCAATGGGGGGAGCTGGGGGTTCTCAGGGGTGCACACCCAGGGCAGGAAGTGGAAAGGGTCTGGAGAGGGGATTCTACAGACACTCACCTTCCTTGAACAATCCACTAACAGAGAAGCAGAGCATCGTATCCTGAAAGGGAAGACGGCATGGGCTCAGGGTGCTGCATAACTTTCTACTCATGTAGGCACCTGCCCCAAGGTAAAAGCTGGTGCTCACCGTCTGGAAACACATGTCCACCTGGAAAGAGCTCAAAGCATGCAGGGTTTTGGGTAATGTCCTGAGAAAGTTTACAATGTCCTGTTTCGTGTACTTCAGCATCTGCCTCTGAAGGTCTATAGAGGAGTGAGGAGCAAACATCAGGGATTTGTCTATCACAACCTGGTCCATGGCCTCTATGAGTACTTCCTTCGCATGGTCAGTTCCTGCACTCTACCAGGTCTTCCCCATCACACACTTACGGAACTCCTTGGGATTCTCCATGCAGTACCCACACATGCCACTCCTAAGAGAAAAGAGGAACAAGAGTTGGCAGCCGAGACAAGTGCAGATGCTTCTTGAGGGTCAGTTGTTTCTACTTGGTGGGGGAGAGGGAAGTAGAGTCACACTGCTCCAGGACAAAGCATGAACTGTGACACTCACAGATCTGGATCACTGGGGTTGAAGGGAATTGTCAGGGAGAAGCAGGCCTGGTCATGGTAAACTCCGTGGAGATCCTGTCGATCTCCATAGTCGTAGATAAAGTAATACCTGTGGGATGTGGAGGTGGCTGGAATGGGCTATTTCTTTTACCTGGGCATCAAAGGTGAACTGAAAAGGCCTCTGAGCAGACTAGTGCTAAGGTGTCCCAGCCTAGCCAACTCCCCTCCCATAGTCAAGGTTCCATGTGCACTTACTCCTGTAGGAATTGGTGTACTTGATTCTTTATGGCCTCAGAAGCCTTAAAGCTTTCCTAAAATACAAAGCCATTTCAGATGCTGTGTCTACCAAGAGAGCCACTGGCAACACCATAAATCTCTCTTCGCCCTTCTTCCTCACCTTGCAGGGCTTCATTAACTGAGGTTCTTCAATGTCCATTACAGTTGAAAGTGGTAACTTCCTGCCATCCTGAGAAGAGAAGGAGAAGGCTGGGAATGCACACCACTGAAGTAGCACTGGAGGTCCATGGGGTCTATGAGGCCCAAGGGCGACTTTGATAAAGAGACAGGTGTAAAGTCATCAGGAAATCTTTTGGCTGTGAGATCATAGAGGGCACTGTGTTTTGGGGTACTGTAAATTGTGATCATACGTGCTTTGTCAGAGTGTTTCTGTGTGTGTGGTGGGGTGCTTCATGTGTATAATTTGGGGCAGCATTTAGAATATTTTTTTCTGGAATCCATGCTGTTGAAAATGGATCAGTGTCTCAGGCAAACACATCTAGGCAAGGGATTAAACATGGAGGTCAATTGTGTGAGGAAGATGAGTCAGTGGTGAAGACAGGAACATACCAGGTGAGACAATTCTGGGAAACAGTCCAAGACAGCGCTGTTCACAAAGAAAAGGCCACAGAAATTATTAACAGTTCAAGTTTGGGCAGAATTTCTCCCCTGCCTTCAACCTGCCACCAATTCTTCAGGCAGGTATGTTCTGGTCCCATTCCCTGTTACCCAAACCCTGGGTATCACCCACCCACAGTGCACTGGCCCCCTTCTCTAGGGCCACACGAAGCCACACCGGGGGGGGGCATTCTTCAGGACTTCCTTCCTCTCCCTGCTTCTCTTCCCTGTCTCAGAAAGGTCCACTGAAGGCCTTTAAAGGAGCAGGACACTTTGAAAAGTGTCCAGGATTCTCTGGGATGTTGAGAGATGAAGGTGAGGGATGCAGGAGTCAGGATGGGGGAAGCTGGGGGTGGTTGATGGTGACAGAAAGGGGGTCGGGGGAGAACTCTTTTTCTAGATATGGGATTGACATGGGAGAGAAGAGGCAAAGAAGACAAGGGAAACAATGCACAGGGAGTGAGAGATGCTCTGTCTTGCTTGGTATAGTGGGGCCTGGGAAGTGGGGAAGAAAGGGGTACCCTGCTGTTGCCATTTCCTTCACTTGTGCCTGGCTAGCCCAGGGATCCAAAGCAGGAATGAATGAATGCCCACTACTGAGTCAGGCATGGGGGCCCATACTATTTTTTTTTCAGTGAGATGGGGAATAAGAGCCTCCCTGGAGGGAGGAACCATTTTCCAGAAGCTGAAGAAATATTTGATGAAGGGGATATGGTCCTATCCGAGGAATCAAGTTGCTTGCCTCAGGCTACCCAAGGCTCCTTTTATATGCTAGGCAGGATGATGAGCAAGGTAGATTAGTGCATAGGTAAAGACAGAGAAAGAAGGAGGGGTGGAGCCATTGGGGAAGGCAGTCCTTCTGTCTCCTCAACCTCTTCTGCACTCTGCCTCCCTTTCCTGCTCCAGGAAGCCTTCAGCTCCCCAGTCATGGCCCAATCCTGGATCAGATTCAGAGAGACCAGCCCCTCCCCACAAGGAGGGCAGAGATCCCAGCTGTAGTCCAGAGGAAGTGATGTCCATGTCAGCATCACCCAGCACCTCAGCCTGGGGCAGGACAACCTCTAGGGCAGCCTGGGACAGAAGAGGGGACCGTTCAGGAACAAGATCTGGAGGTTCCTCTCAGGACCGGAGAGGAGGCCTGGTGCCCTTGAGATGAGGCAAGGCAGGGCCTGCCGGAGGAGGCCGAAAACTCACACAAGGGAAACCCTACCCACACTAGGTGAGGTGGGGCATGCAGAACAGAATCAAAGGAGGCCTGCAGGCACAGCCCATTACAGAGACAGGGGAGAGGGCAGGCCTGTGATCCTCCCAGAGGACCAGGCCTGCCTCCTCCCACAGAGTCTCTCAGGCAACCAGGAGACAAGGGGATCTATGAAGGGGAAGGTGTCAGCTGCCATGATGTACCTTACGTAGGCAGAACTGTCTGTGAAGGTGCTGCGCAAGGGGTTCCCTTCTAGCCACAGCTCTTTCAGCTTCAGCCCCTTCATCTTCTCCAGCTCGCACACTGTTCTTAGCTGGGAGAGAATGAGGAGAACTGGTAAAGGCAGCCATTGGCAGTTCAGGAGCCATGTCTCCCTGCTCCCACTCATGGATCACTTTGTCTGCCTCATGTTACCACAGTCTGCACTACTATCCATCCTCAACCCCAATCTCATCAGCTCACTTCGTTTGTGGAGAGGTTCAGGATCTTGACTTGCGGTGCCTTCTCTACCACATCAAATAGGCTATCTAACCGGAAAAGTTTGTTGTTGCTCAAGTTCAAGGACAGCAGCTTTGGGGAGCAAGAGTTAGAGTGACCATTACTGTCAAGAGCCTAAGAGACATATTTTTCCTGTACCCCATCCTTCTGGCCCTCCAGCCAAACATTAACACCTCAGGGAAATCCTCTTGGATGATCTGAAGGGTGGCAGTCATGCAGCTTCTTCGGTTCAGAATCATGTGTATGCCACGGTGCAGCAAGTCTTCAGGAGGAGGAGGGAGAGGAATCAGAGGGTGGAGAGGGGTCCATCTGAACCAGCCTCAGCAAAGCCCCCTCTACAGGCTACCACATGTATGTCTTCTTCCTAGCCACACCCATGATCTACAGTTATTGCTGCCAGCAATACCTGGGTCAGAGTGCAGCTTTTGGAGATTCAGAGCATGCTGGGAAACATCGTATCTTTTCTTCAGGGCCAGCTGCAGAGACACAGATGGAGAGGATGATCTGCTGCTCTGTGGCTTGGTGTTGTTGTGTGTCATGGTTTGGAGAACTTCAGGGACTGAGAGGAAGGAGAGCGGGGTCTGGGAAGCGAACAAACATGCTGCCTTCAGACTGCGGTACCTTTAGCTGCTCCATTTGTTCTCCTGTGAATCTATTCAGCACAGAGTAGGGTACATCTGAAGGATTGACAAAAACAGGGATCTGTGGGGAGAAAAGACAGAGTGAGCACGGGGAACTCTAATCCTAAAGAACCTCTCAGCCCAGAGCCTGTGCCAGGGCTAGGTACAGAGAATGCCTCCAGCACATACCTTCTGACTCTCTGCATCATAAATCTTGTAGCTGACATCCCTCAATGCACAGGCAATGCTAGCATCCTGGACAAAGAACCGGATCCGATGTTTGTCACAATGGAACTTAGGAGAGGGGAAAGAAGTGAAAATATTAAGAGGCAGCTAAACCCCGCTGAGCCTGGCCTCCTGCTCAATCCCCCAAACCATCCTAGCTGGCTTCACCATCCTGTCTTACGTCCACTGCGGTGAAGGGCACTCTGCAAAGGCTGTGAACTGATTTCATCAGCTGTGTCTTGTCAGACTTTCTGCCACATGGAATCTAAATTTACAAACAAGGAACAGGACATAAGAGAGACAACATGGAATCTCGCAGGAGAGCAGTCATATCCTGAATGTTCTTTCCTGGCCTTCTAGCTAGCTATAAAGAACTTCCATGGGGCCCTCTGCCATGGTACCTTATTTTGTGCCAAACACAGATCTCCTCAACACACCTTCTGTACATATAGTCACTCTTTCCCTCCAGGTAACCGATATGTCTTACTCTCTGTGGTTTTCTTTCTGTTGGGTTTCAGAATACTCTAATGAAGTGGCCACCAAAACACTCACCGTGACCTTGAACCAGCTCCCCAGCGTTCCATCTTCTGTGTGCTGCCTCACTTCTTTCTTTTGAGGTTTGCCATCTCTCCACACTGTGATATGAATTTTGTTCTTCATATGTTGATCTTCTCTACTCTTACGTCGCATAGTATATGGTGTGCTATAGAAGGAGGAGGAAGGATGATAATTCTTGTACGCATCCTCATTCTCCACACTGATAGCAAAGGTACAATTAGTATTGCTCAGCCACCATCCCTTTTCTATGGAGTACTGCATCTCTGGTTTCCCAGGAAGAGAAGATCCCAGGGGAAGAGGAAATGAAAGAGTTGCATAGTCCCAGGGGCTGCTACACACTAACCAGGCAGCCTAGTCACTTACTATCTTACTGAGGGTTCCCAGAGAAGATCTCGCGTCTCCATGTTTCCACTGTCACCCTGGGATTTTGAAGGCAGAAGCACATGCCCAGTGTGCTGATAATGACCTTTCCTTTTGCCAGTATAACCCAGGGAAGAGACACAGTATCTCTTTCTTCCTAGAAGAACACAGCTCTCGCCATCATTATATTCTGAAATGGGAAAGGATGAAAGATAGAAAGCACATCAGTGGTCAATGTGCTACATGCTGCACCATAGGGGTGGCACTATGGGAGGGTGAGTAAACTACCAGTTTTCTCCAAAGGATAACTCACAAACACCCAGTGGGCAAACTCCTAGCACAGTCACAGCAGACAGGGCCCTTTGGACCCTTTAAAACATAATATAACAGGATTTGTGATGAACATAAGTGTACTTGGGACGTGGTACTTGGGACCATCTCTGGGTATTCTGGCACCCTCTTCTGGCCTCTGATTCCATCTGCAAACACGTGGTATACACACAGGCAGTCAGGCACACAGGCATGCAACAAAAACTGAATTAAAAAATTAAAAATATTTGATGCATCAGCTAGTCTACTTACCCTCAGAATTTGCTATATATTAACTTTTCCCCCAATACAAAAGGAACAGTGAGCCTCTTTCAGGATACCTCAAATATTCCTAAGCTTCTGCCTCTGTCATTCTGGAATTCTTCCTATAGGGATGCCTGGCTGTGAAGGACAAGCTCGTTTGTTGTAGTAGCAGAATACAGAGATAAGAGAACCCAACATTTGAGCTATGTCAACAACAACTGCTTGGTGTGAGGCACACTCAAGACTTTTCACTTCCTTATAGAAGTACCATGAGGATTGTACCTAGGGCCCCCTTTTGGATCATGAATATTCAGTTCCAGGATGCTGAGTGATTATCCCAGAAGGTTTCATCCGCCAAAATGGTAGATTCAGACCTTTGTACACCACTGGCTGCTCTACCATCCTCCCTCCCCACCCCTCATCAAGCACTTCTGTAGTGGCTGAACTCTTTCTCCATGGTAAGTAGAAGTTCTCATTTCCTGGAGACTTCATGTAGCAGAGAAAAGATTCAGTTTTGTAGCAGTTTTTAAAACAAGAGAGCTGCCTTGGACAAGTTGGTGGACTCTTTTGAATTGTAGTGTACAATTATGCATGCAAGGTGCATACGATGCTCTGTGCACCACACTTAGCATAGTGCACTAAGGCCAGCACTGCTTGTGCAGCTGGCTTCCAATGAGTCACCCTTGCCTCTTTTCTAACTCTAAAGTCATCTACTATTTCACTATTAAGTGTCACACATGATGACAGAGGAGTTGCTCTCTGTCAGCTTACAGAAATTCATTTGTTTTTCCCATAGCTCAGTCATGGACTGCTCATTTGCTCATTTATTGTCTGTCTTCTTTCCTGGATTGGTCATGACAACCATCCTTTCCTCTTCCTCTTCTTCAGGTCTTGTGTCCAACTACACAAGTGGCTTCCTGCATGGATGTGCTTTGTTGTTTGAGCATGCCTTTGTTCCTGTGCATCATCTACTTTAGCCCTGTAATTCTCAGCCAAGAATCAAGATCAAGGGTCATGGGCTTTAAAGGCAATTGGTCTGAAAAGTCACTTGCCCCCTTAGATACATCAGTGTAGTCAATGTGTTCAAATAATCAGTATGTATCTTCTCATGCAATCACACATTTTCAAGCTTGTCAGTGACTGCCAGCAAAAAAGTCACTTTAGTCTAAAAGTAAAAGTCTTCCGGTGCCTTCTGATTGTAGCCACTCAGGTTGCCCAACATTTTAGCATCACTGTTTTCCTTTAACACTGGCACCAGCATATTTTGTTTACTAAAGGAAAAGATCCATGGAGAGAGGTATTTTCTGTTACGCTGAACATTTTGGCCAGCGCATAGCCAACACAGCCTCAAACCTGACAAACATGGTTCAGACAGGTTTTGCCCTTGTTTTTTTCCCTCTCCTTTGCTAAAAACTGTTAGAGTGAATTCTTAAAGCTAGCTCAAGGTCTATTCCCTCATTTGGCCACTGACTCCATTCTGAGGCAAAATATTAAGGTCCAGCAGTCAAAATTCATTATTTGGCTAACATGGCCAATCAGGATTTGCCAATTCATCATGGCACAAACTGCCCTCTTTTCTCCTTAAAAACTCACTCTTGCAAAAAATCACCTGCTTTCTGGTTACTGCTCACTGCTGCTGCTGCTGTCTGCATTTGCAGCCACTGCCTCCCTGCTTTCCCCTCCAGCTTAATAAATCTTTCTTTGTGTGCTGATAACCTGGTATCTGGGTGTGTCCTGTATCGACGCCAGGGGGCTGCCCTCCCTTACAATGACAAGTCATGCATCCAACACATTCCCTCATTTACAAAAGACTGTTGGCTTGTCAGTGTCCTTGTTTGTCACAAGTCTTCTGGATTCAGATGAATTAGTGTGTGTGTGTGTGTGTGTGTGTGTGTGTGTGTGTCTTCATTCCATAAAAGTACACTCACTTTGCTGAAGCAGCCAGTGATGAACAAGGGATGGTAAATAACCAAGCTGGACTCAAATCATGGCACTGCCATCTAGGGCCTGGATGACTTTTAGCAAATCCTTAATCTGTTTGGGCTAGTCAGGGCTACTGCTGGCCAGGCGTTTTCATTAGTCCCTACCTGCAGTACAAACTGTACCACCGACATTTCCTGTCTGCTAGGGCTTTAGCAGAGCCATAATAGCATCCATCTCTAAACTACAGTGAGTGGGGTGGGTGCTATTTATGATAGTGTGCTGTAAGACCCTCTGGGGTTTCCTTTGCCAGTGGCACAGTGAATGATCCTGGTGTAGATGGTGTCTACTCCATTAGTAAGAATGTTTCAGGTCCAGACAGCCACTACCATGTGAACAGTTTGCACTAGTTTGGGACTTACAGGAACAGTGAGAAATGAGCCACCGGGGCTTGTAGGGTGCTCAGACTCAGACCCCTCTGTAAATGTAACTATCTCTGGATTTTTCTGAGGCTGAGTGAGGGAACTTAACAGGACAACTTAAGGCAATGTCTGCTATCCAAGAAGGGCAGCCTTTCAGTAATTAGATAGTATGGAAAATCCATGAGTTATTTGGAATCACAGAGAAGCACTGCCTGGCACATTAGTGGTACCCTGTTTTCGGTAGTGGAGTACTTCATTTGCTCAAGGAGAACACCCTTTGGAATGTCTTATAAATGATACAGTGAATTTTCACCCAACTATGCTAGAATTATGCTTATAAACTGGAATGCTCTGTCAAGAAGAAAGTACTGAAAAGATTCAAGTTAGCAAAATCATTGACTGATGAGAGAAGATAAAATATATGAGTGACGAGAAGAAAAATCCAATATTATATATATATATATATATGTGTGTGTGTGTGTGTGTGTGTGTGTGTGTATACATACATAACGTCCTTAGTAAACTGCAATCAAGAATTAAAGAAGTAGAAGATTAAACTCACCCCAACTCAAAATATGTTTAAGGAACATTAATATAACAGAGGCTCTTTGTAGAGGAATCCATTCTCAGGAACTTGAGGAGACTTGAGAGCTACATGATGCCATGTGCATACTATATAAGCACCAACACAGCATCATGGAAGTGTCTTTACCTGTATATCTGAAGGTCCCCTGCTTCTTTTCAATGGAGCCCATTTTTCTTGTCTCTTGGTCTTTGATGTCTCAGGGGAAGCTTAAAATGGACAAGTGGAAGGAAAATGGGTTACTTAAGTTCTCTTGTCATGCAAAATAAGACATCATTCTTCAGCCACCTTGAAAGCACATTTTTTAACCCCAGGTATGAAGGCATCATGTTGCTGCTTACGCAGGTTTACTTATTCATTACACCTTTCACGATGGACCCAAGGATCTTTGAGATTTCACCTGTTTGTCTATACTTCCACTTTCTGTCTGATGGATGAAAAGGGAGCTTGCAACAAGGAATCCTAGGAACTAATCTCTGTAACAAGATGAAATCTCAGTGTGTTGCTTGCCTAAGGAGATCTTGAACACAAGAAGGTGAATAACCCTCTGCCAACTACCCCCTTGAAAACTAAAGAGTTACAAATTAAAGAATTCAGAGTTATCTACATTGTCCTCATGTTGACAAATTCATTGCCTCCACTCTCCCTTCCCTTCTCTGATCACTTCCTTCTTCTAGATCACTGCTCATTCCAGAGTAATTGCTCAGGAAGTTGGGTGAGAAAAGAAGCCAGGACATAGCAGCAACAAGGAGAGAGGCTGCAGGGAAAAGAAGCCCTCCTTCTCCTCCCGAAATCAACTGAGTGAGAACTATTGGTTGGAAGCCTTCAGTACCCTTGAGAGTAACAGAGTCAGAAGAGTGGCAGAGGAGGAGCATCTCACTGCAGATCAGGAAGAAAATCTGGCAGGGCAATGACCACAGTCAGGGGGACAAGGAAGGAAAGGGTGGACCTAACCTGATTAAAGAGTTCTGCCCTGCAGAGCTGAATTCAGACCTTCGAGGTTGCTGCTCATTCTCAATCTCCCTCTCGACTTCCACCCTTTGCCATGTTAACCCTGATTGTACACAGGACCTCTTCTGAGACCAGGGTCAGATGAAGATGCCACAAACCCCTTGTACTAAGTCAGGCTTTTAAAAGTATTGCCACCACCAGAACGTCCTCCCACCACCTCTCCTCAGACTACCTGTGCTTGGTACCATCTACTTGGTTACCCATAAAGCCCTTCCATGACTAAATCCCAGAGGGCAGATGATAGGAGGCCTCTTACCAGAAAAGTGGGTTGGAAAGTCAGCCTGCAGTGCTTCTTGGATATGTAGAGAGTCTAAGCCACAGTCTGACTCAGCTTTGTCCTTAGCGAGGGCAAGGCCAAGAGCTCAGACTGTCTTCCGTGGGTGGAGGTGAGTCCACAGAAAACACAGAAACTGCCCAGCTTGATTCTTGGTGCTGGGAGGCAGGGGCAGAGTCACATGACCACCTGAATCCAGTGAGGAGGTTGGGCTAGGGAATTGGGCATACTCAGTCCTGGTTCTGAGGTCTCAGCATCTTTGGGGAGGATTTGCGCAACGCCCACATGCAGCTTAGCACGTGACCACGAAAACAACAGTCACTGAGTAGCTGGGGTAGTCTTGTGACTGGAGGCTTTTGCCTCATGATGGGTCTGTGTATAGATATCAGCTACACTAATCTTCTGACCTGGGCTGCTGATACGGTGCCTAACTGGGAGGGCAGAGGCAACAGACTCCAGATATCATTCACAGAACTGAAAATTGAAAACATAAATAAAAACAAAAGAACAAAAATTTGAAGTACTCATGTTCCCAACAGAGACCATAGGTCTAGGTTGGCCACAGAAGTTTGTTTTCTCCCTGTTGGCACCAACCCTGTGGGATGCAAGAACATCCCATAGCATTCTGATGCCTGGGGAGGCTATATCAGATCCCTGACCAAATTCTCTAGTTTTGCCCTCATGCCTAGGGAAAAACCACTTATGAAATTACAGCCAGGAACCTAGGTCTGTTGCCAACACTTCTTCAGAGGATGCAGGGGGTCAGAGCATGGCAATTGGTGTCCTGCTCAGTTACTCTACAACTTCTTGCCTTGATGTAGGGTCACTCCCTGAAACTAAAGCCTCCCTTGGATGCAGAAAAAATCAAGACATCCTCCAGTATGTCAGTCACCTCTGACATGACCAGAGGTAGAATTACAAGCCTGTGTGCAGGCATGCCTGTCTTTCATTATGGTTCCTAGTGGTTCAAGCTCATGACCTCATAGCATCAACCATTGTCCCCTGAGCCACAGTCCCAGCCCTGGGGCCTACTCCTGAAGGAGGAGGAAATAGTAGCAGAGTCTCTCACACCCAAGCAGGATGCAGCCAGAGAACTTGGTGTTAGGTTCACAGCCTTCGGAGAGCTGCTAGCCACAGGCACAGTTTGCCTGTTCCAGAGAAACTCAGGCTATTTTGTGGACCATTGCAGTAAGTAGTTAAGATGAGGTCCGGTGAGGGGAGAGTGAAATTTTACCTAGAACAGAAAGCTGCCCAGGTCTTTCCCAAGACTGGATAACTGGAGCAGATGCAGGCTCCCTTCCTGCCTCCACATAGTAGGAGTTCTGATCACCTAGCCCCTGGTGGAGGCAGTGAGGTGTAGAGTTAGGAGACATTCAATGAACACTCCTGCAGGACCAGTGTGTTGGGCAGACACCTGGGTAAGAGGTAGTTGATAGTGGCTGGGAAGGACAGAATGCCTGAAAAGCTGAGGCCCAGAGAGCTTTGGGGTGCATGACCTTTCATTAGGCATCTCTGGCTGCATAACCAATATCTACTGCATCTCACACAGTGACAGCCTTGTGTACCCTGTCCATGATGGAGACAGTGGGGAGACCTGATGCTTTTGGAGAGACAGTCGGAGTCAGTTCCACTGCTCTCTTTGGTGGACCACAGGCTGAGTCATTTATCTTTGCACAGAGATGGCAGAGATGGGGGAGGGACAGAAGAAATCCCTCTTCTAAGGCCCAGGACTGGCCCATTTTCTTGTCTACCCACAGACCACACGGTTTCCATGGCAACCCAAATGTCAGGCAATCTGAAGCAGTGATGCTTTCGCCTAGGCCTCAGGTGGGCAGGGATAGGACCCCACAAGTTCCTGTCACTCAAAGCCTGTAACACATGCTTCTGTAGGTTCTGTGAATATTGACCCATTTCAGTGTGAGACCTCCAAAGTCTTCACACATAAATCACTCCAAAGAAAAGCTGTCCTGATGGCCCATCTACTGGGGACAGTGGCCCCATCTTACCAACACAGGGTCCATCACAACAGTCACCTTTCCTCATAGCTCAAAGATTCTCCCCAAAAATTCTGCTCTCTGTTCTTGATCCCAAAACCACAGCTGCTATATCCTCTCTCCCTAACCCTTTAATGAACAGAAATGAGATCCACTTTTATTGAAGTGACTCCAAGTTCCCAGATGTGGAAGGAACATTGAGGTTTCCCACATGAACAAAGGAGCATGAGGCAGGGGATGGGAGTGATATTCCTCCAGCAATCCCATCTGCCAGGCTGCACTCTAACCTCAATTTCCAAGAATCTTTGTTCACACAAGATTGCTAGGTCAGGCTCTCCATGCCAGAAGAGCTCGCCACAGAGTCTTACAGATGAGAGCATCTCCAAGCACCCTCTCTCTGTCCCAGCATGTCTCTGCCCTCTGAACTCCCGCCTACCCCTCCAGTCCCTCAGTGTACTGCCCTGAACGCCTTCCTGAGGAACTCTTCAATACAAAAGAGAGGCTTGTATACTTTCCAGACCTGGGGTCCACCTAGACTATACCACATCCAACCTGGACTCTGGCTTTGATAGCTGGCTAGAAAGTTTCCTTCACGTCCTGTTTATCTTGATATTCCCAACTGTGCATCTGGACTTTCCCAGCTTGGATCATGTATGGACAAAATGAGGTACTTGGCTGAATATTCCCCATCCCACTGCTGCCTTGATCAAGGGTTCTGTCTGCATAGGACTGGAGGACAAGGACCCTCACTGGAGCAGAGATAGTGAGGGCAGGAGCCATATCCTCCTGCTGCACAGTGTCAAGCAGGGTGTTTTCTTAAATACTTCCCAAGGGAAGTCTCCCTTGTGATGTCATTCTGTAAATATGTTTCTCTTATTGGTTAATGAATAAAGTACTGTTGGCAAATAGGAAGGCAAGACAAGAAGGACTGAGATACAAGGAGGATTCTGGGAGATGTAGTAGGGAGATTCAAGATGTAGAGACTTGAACGAGAAGAGGTCTTGGCCCTCTCTCTGGTAAGATAAGACCACGTGGAAATACTTAGATTAATAGAAATGGGTTAGTATTTAAGGCAGCAAGCCAATAAGAAATGCTAGTAACAGATCAACAACTTCATTTCTAATACACCATCTCTGTGTGTTATTTGGGGTCAATGAGGCTGAGAGCAGGCTGACAGGAAAACTCCTCATAACAAACCCTTGCAGGATCAAGAAGTAGAGGAAGGGGAAGAAAGGTAGCCATTGAACTATCCTCCTTGATGAACCAATGCCATCTTCAGTAGTCCAGCTGGAACTGCTTTCCAAATATCATCATAGATTGACTACATGAACCTTGATTAAGAAGATGCATAAAAATGAGTCTATCAAAGGCATAAACTGGGAAAAACATGCATTTGTCCACTATAAAACACTGTAGACAATGAAAAATGACCAGTTTATTAGCCTGGGTTGCAATGGCCAGCTGTCACAGAATACCCTGCTAGAGCCAGACAGGAGGAAGAAGAAAGACAGACATTCTCAGAAGCCCATTTTCTAAGTGATTCTAGACTCTGTCAAGGCTACTATTAACATTACCCAGAACACCAAGCCATCTATACCCTCCATGTCACTTACAGGAAGTCTTCCTGGAAGAACCAGAGAACAGCACAATGCCCTTGAAGATACCCATTCAATATCATTCAGTATGTTGTATAGATTCATCAAACCATGCAATGGTGACAGAATGCATTCATCCATTATAAGAACTGAATCCTTTTTTCCCCTCTGTGTCCATGCATTGTGCTAGAAGCTGAGATCCCAGAGACAGTGGTATAGCATTGCTTTTCTGGAAGTTTCCTAAATGTACCTCCTGTTCTACAAACAATGGCTCCTTCATGATGCTATGCCCTGAACTCTACTTGGACCCTGGTAGTAGATATGGTCCTATAGGTTCATGTTAGCATACCCCTCCTAGAAAGGACTGTGTTCCCTGTCCCCACAGTCCCAGTCAAATGGGTCCAAGCTCCCCCTTGCATCTCCTTGGTCAGTGAGTGCACTGGTCCTGTAGGAAATTTTATCTAGTGAGGACAGCAACTGCTATACCCATTCTTCCCCTTCCTGCTCTCTTCCCTCTGACACAGAGCAGGGATCACAGGTTCTCTTCCTAGCCCTGTCATCTGATATCTGCCTTCTTCAGGGAGGCAGGGAGGGTCATACCTGAAGCACATGGGCCTAGACACGGTGGCCCCAGGGACTGCCCCGAGTAATGCAATGAGACCTAATTCGTGCCTTCTGTCCAGCAGGGTCAGAGTGCACTGGCGATAGCCTTCCCCTCCCACTGAGTAACTCATCATCTGTTCTTGTTTCCATGCAGGCTCTACTCTGGCTCCTCTCCTAGAGCCAGCTCTTGTCATCTCCCCTATTCAACACCATTGCCCTAGGTAGCCACCCTATCCCGAGGAGGCTCAAAATGGCTCTTCATAGGACATTCATGGCTCCCTGCAGTCTTCAGCACAGTACCCAGAACACTAAGTTTCTGCCCTTAGCTTACTCTGTCTCTCTTCTCCCTATCCTGACCTGTCACTACCCACCCACCCCCCTTCGAGCAGGCTCTAGAACTGTGGAGAGCATCCTTGGAACACCAGACTGGCCATCTTCAGGCACCAGTTCATTCCCGCAGTAAAACATATTGTGTACCCTGAGTGTGCAGAAAGTGTTAATGTAGCAGACAGCCACCTCTGCAAACAGGCTGAATATCCTGTGATGAACAGGCAGAGAAAAGGAGAGAAAGGGCAGGCCATATACAGACAAGGGATGGGAGGCACAGACGGTGGGAACAGGCCATTCTGGCTGGTTGCTAGTGGATCCAGGGGGCAAGTCTGTCAGTTCAACAGTAGAGCCACAGGGACCCCACAGAGAAGATTATGCACCAGGCAGCAAGTGCAAAGGCCCTGAGGCAGCACTTATTGCAAGATCTCAGAAGGGTCAGTGTAGCTAATGAGGGGAGGGGTTGCTGCAGAAGTTGTGCTCAGAACATGACAGGCTGTCTGGCAACAGCCTTGCAGAAGACTGACAGAACTCTGATGATTCAAGAAGCTACGAATGGTGCCTGGCACAGAACAATTCCTCCATGTGTGCACTTGCGAAGATGCCAGGAATTGTTCCTCCAAACTTCAAGGAGCACACTTTCCTCCTCAAGCCCATTTTACAGACAGAGAGGTGAACCAGAAGGAGGGGGCAGTAACATTCCAAGGACAATATGGCAGGTCAAAGGCAGAGCAAGTGACTGTCCCCCCAGCACCCTCCTTGATTTTAGGCCCCATGAACAATGATGCTCTCGTAGAGCAGGGACTTGGTTTGGTTACTGAGTGAGAGCAGGGCATCCCCAAATGCTCAGAGACCCTCCATGACATGGCCTGGTAGAAGAGCCAAAAGTGCCCTGTCCTTATCAGGACAGCTTAGGTGTTGTAGGACTCACCTGCCTACCCAGGCACTCACCCGTTACTTAGTCATGCCCACCCATTCATATATCAACTCACTCACTCACTACTCCTTCATAAATGTACTTCAGCCAGATGTATTACCTCAGCTTAACCAAAGATGCTCAGAAGTATCGCTCGTGTCCACAGGCAGAAAGAAGCCTTCAGACAAAGACAACTGGCAGAGAGTCTCAAGGCTGGCCTAGTTCAAAGGAGACCTTTCTTCTGGTCATGGTTCACAGGGCACTCCAATTCTGAATTGGGTGGCCACTCTACTTTTCAAGCCACTGATTCCATTCCTCTCCCAAGTGTCTCAGAGATACGACAGTCTCTGGGATCACCCCTTTCCCATAATTCCTATTTTATGGCTATAAAGGGAAAACATGGCTGACTGACATGACCTCACAAATTCATGTACATTGATGTCATGAATGCAACTGGTTTGCCTTCCTCACCTAGAACCTGGATCTCTGCTGAACCCTGTACCCCAGAGGCCACCAGATAGGCAGGAACAAGTCAGATTGCCTCCAGCCTCTCTTGGAGTCAAGGAAACCAACGAATGGGAAAGGACCACATATCTTGACCATGGCCCCACAAGAAGATAAGGACAAACAAATCGACTGGAGACAAGTTTATATGAGCAACAGAGTTCCAGACTCTGTATGTATCAGAAGGTCAAAGGGAACCACACCTCATAGAGTGTGTAGACATGGCAGGGCCCAGCCTGACCATTCCTTCCATGCCTAAATGTGCCAGCAGTAATGGTAATAAGGCAATGCCTGGAGCATTGGTGACTGGACCCAAGGGATGTTTAGCACTTCTTTCCTAGGTGTCTATAGTTGTGTGTCATTCTGGAAGATCTGTGTGGTTCACACACCATACCCATGGTGACCGCGCCATTAAAATGAGGGTCTCAGAAACCAAGAACTCTTCATTTCTGCATGGGAAGGACAATGGAGAGTGTGAGGCCTATAAGTAATTGATTCAATATATGGGGTAGTAGTTAGCCCAGCAACAGGAGGGGAGAGTTGTGCAAGGCTGTACCCTGAGCCATCTGCCTCATAACTGGGAATGTTCAGACTGCTTCCTCCAAAAACAAGGTTGCAGAGCAGGGCATGGCTTCACCCCAGGCATATAGATCCACTAGTGATCCCTTAATCCCATCAATTCCCACAGACCGATTTTTGAACTCCTCACACATGATCTGCCTGCCTAGGCCTCCAACCAGAAAGGAGTAGAGGAAATGCACTTAGGACCTCATTTGAGATTTCTGAGTCCTGATCCTGCACATGAATCTGGATTTGTGTTCTCCACCTGCACAGAACATGTTTCAAGGTAGCTACAGAGACACGGAATGCAGTCCCTGGTGCCTGGCAGACCAGACTGCTTGGCACAAGTAGCTGCTTCTTATGTCTTCTGTCCACAATGGAAAGCAGCTTCTAAAGGACAGTCCTGCTGCATGTTGCCTGATTACTGTGGGTGAAGAATAGGACAAGTGTGGAGGAGGTATCTCAGAGTTGGCATGGAGGGCAGATTCTGCAAATTACACTGTCCCTGCAGAACTGCAGTGATGGTTCCTCTTGGCATGGTCCAAACATGTCATCCTGATTCATATGCTACAACTGCTTTCAGTACTCCCAGTCACTTCCCTTGGCACCTCCTACTTAGAGGCCCAACTCACTTGATCAGAGATATCTGAGATCAAGTGGCAAATAGAAGCACTCAGATGAATACTCTGGTCCTGTTGCCCTTTATCCTTGAGATGGAAATGTATCTGCAAAATCCCATCTGCTGCCCAGAGTTGTTTCACAGTCTCTTGAGAGAAAAGATCACCTGGCCAAAAGGAAAATCAGACTAACTAAGAGCATCTTCAGGACTGGGAAGATGCCAGTCTTCTGAGAAGGAGCCACTGAAGCCTGCACTAGCTGCCATTGGGTACCACATACCCCACTCCATGTTATTTTCTTAAATACTTTTCATTTTTAAAATTTTGTGCATATGGGTGTTTTACCATGGGTTTCAGACGGGGTTTACAGTACCATGCACATATTTCCTTCTTTGAAGTGGTTCACAAATCATTTATACCACAGCCCCCAAAGCTCAGGGAACACTGTGGAGAGAGGGGAAAGAATGTCAGATATGTGAAATGCTATCTTCAGGCCATCACACAGCCATTTCGAACATGATCTCGGAGCAGCTGTGGTTGCTGGCGCTGGTCCTGCACAAGGCTTGGCCAGTCAACAGCAAATCACTGATTGACGAAGGTCTCCTTTGGGGCTCTACTCCTCACTGGTGAACTTCAGCCAACTGAAAGGTTCTGGAACGGGTAGTCATTGATTTGAGTTGTGTACCAAAAAGTGAGCCTGCCAGGTATTAATGCACGATTCCAAAGCCCTTTACCACACAGATTGTCCTGGACGAAATCAGAGGGTTTTGTGTGGAAGAGATCTGTAAGGAGGAAGGGGAATAAAAGAGGTCTTGGGGATGTGAGAGTGTGGGGGTTGAAAGTAAACAGAATGTGCTATGAACCTGAATGAAATTGTCAAAGAACAAGCATAAGAACTAAATTTAGGCTTAAAAGTTCTAGAGTGAGCTAGAAGAGTTGTTTGAACCCGGTCTGAGCATCACCTTCCTGGAGAGGAACTCTGGCACAGCAGGTTTAGTCTGTAAAGGGGCTGGGAAAGACCCACACACGCCCAGGCCTCACACATATCCCAGCCACCTCCCCAGAGCTGGCCTGTAAGCCATGGAAAGGGTCTACTCCATACAGTCATGGGACTTCTGGAGAATATCTGCAGGTCAGCCTTTTAGTCTCCATGACCCAGAGCCTCCAAAGGCCCACAGATAGCCCCACTGCTGTCACTGAGGATCTGCAGGCCCAGTATCAGCAAGGAGTTCCCCAGGGGCATCTGTATGTTTGCCCCAGGCTGCCAGGACAATAGTCACAAAAATGCTCAATGCTCAGCAAAGCAACTCACATGTCAAAGGATCAGAAATTCACAACATATACTGGAGATCCATGTGGCAGAGACTGAGCAAACCATGGCTCCTTGCTCTTGGAGAGACATCTCAGTTTCCTGGGGAGCAGTTAGGGAGCAGGTGGGCAGCAGCTAATTCCCTTGACTACCTTCTGATCAGAGATGCAGCTGTAGCTGCCACAGGGCCTCCAGGTTGGAGCTTGCACTTGAAGAGGGAAGGAGATGGCAACAGACCATCAAAGCCAAGCAGCCAGGCTTCTCCTAGGACGTCACTCCAAAACAGTGACCTTATAGAAAACTCTATTAACAGACAAAGACTATTGAAAGGAGACAGTCAAGGAGCTTTGAACCATTAAAACACTCTGCTACCTACTGAACACACCCACAGGGAATGAAGTGCAAAAGGTCCACAAATCAACATACACATTCAGCATGATTGTAATTTCACTTGCAATTGACTGTAAGGATGAGTTACTTGCACATCTGGTTTGGGGAAACAAAGAATGTACTAGAAACCCTGCTGCAGGAAGTCAGAAGTGCTGCTGCTCTGAATATATGCTGGAAATAAATTACATTGATTCAGATATGAGAACCAAGCTTGGAGCATGAGAATGTATACAAACTAAGGAGGGCATCTTGGGTCCCTGGGGAGTGAAGGACTTTAATAAATGTCACTACTGTCAAATAATCGTATCTGGACTGCATCAGGACGGAATGTGAAAGGGTTATTGGAATGAAGCAAGGAGGGATCATTGCAGTGGGGAGGGGAGGTTGCATATTGCAGGGGCAACAAATGGGGGTGAGAAGAGACTGCTGTAGCAGAAAACTTCATTGTAGTGGGAAGGTAGAGATGTGTGTGTGTGTGTGTGTGTGTGTGTGTGTGTGTGTGTGCGTGCGTGCGTGTAGTCTGGTGTCTTAGGCCAGGGCTGTGACCCAGAGTTCCCTGGGCTTCTCAGG